AGTATTAAGATGTATTTAAATTAGAATCCTAAATTGCCTTATTTAGGTAATTCCCTTTACAGTTGCACTGCAGGAATTCCCAAAACAATTATATTAAGCAATCTGTGCCATCTTCAAAGAATAATAGTAATGAGGGTCTGCAAGTGTGAAGTGCTGAACTAGTGATGTTCCATCCAAGGGCTTGAAATACATGCCCCTAGGAATGTTTCAGATGGGGGTGGGGAAATTAGTATTACAGAAACAGTAATACCAACACTTCAGTAGGAAAATTTTGTGTTGCATGTGTAAAATACTTATAAGACTCCATGTAAAGTATAATTACTCAAAACTTGATAGCCTAGACATGATTGGTTCTACTTTGGTCATTAGTAGCTAAATGGTGGAAATACCAAGCTACTTAATAATTTGCTATTGGAATAAATAATTTTCTATCTTTTTGTATTTAAAAAAAAAAAGGACTGGCTTATAAAAAAAGATTTTCATATGTAGCAGTGAGACTGCATAAAACAGAAAAAAGTGTGAACTTGCTGTCTTTTAACAAGACATGGAACTATTGCACAAGGAGACTGACCATTTACATTTACTGCTTGTCATTTAAAACAAAATTGCTCTGCACGCATCTGTGCTTCATGAGAAACATTAGGTTTAAACTTCATAGAGTAGTTTGCCTAACTGCATTAGTTACTTCAAACAGAAATCCTGAGTTAGAGATCTTCTGACCATGTGGGGAGGCAGTAGGTGTTCAAATACCTGTCATGTTGATGCTTGGGCTATTTGTAGTGACACTTTCCTAACTATGGAACCCTTCTGTACTTGAAAAGGGAAACCTTGCAAAATGGAGAGCAACCTGGAAAACTTAAAAAGCACCAAAACCTCTTTGTGTTTACAGGGGTGGTGGGGAAGGTGATAGCAGGACTCAGATGCTCACTCATTCTTCGTGCTTTGTTTGATGGCAGAAATCAGCTGAAAGCCAACTATTTGATGTCAGTGGAGACAGCACAAGGGTTGCTGAATGAAATTGGCTCCGAGTCGCTGGTTTCTGGCACGCACACGTCACCATCTGCTGTTGCTCAGAAAATCGACTCTGTAGCCACTGCTGATGTTGTGAATGTAAGTATCTGTTGGCATCTACAGGTGTTCCTTAATCACTCTGTGAGGGTTGTTTTTGTGGAAAACTGATGCTCATTTGTGCGTGTTTGTAAACACACACATATACTGTCTTTAAAAAACAGGCAATTCATTTACAAATCCCATCTTTTGATGTCTTTACATACTTGATTGACAGAAGATCCTTTAATCCAATACACTGTAAGTAGTGTAGCTAGGACTGATGTAAAATTCTCATCTACTTCACTTAAATTTACCAAAATTGCCAAGTAAGATTCATGGAGAACTTCATATTAGTTCCAGTGCAGGTGATTCTGTGTCTTTTTGGATTCCTGAGTCTAGAATATTTGATGTGCTTAATAAAACAATTAGGCTTTCAGTGATAAATTGATTAAGCTGCATTGCTCCTGCACATTATCTTGTGCCTTTTATGTGAAGCAAACTTCATACAGAAATCTATCAGAAAGAGAATTTCTAAGATATAAAACTTGCTTTTTTTACATTCATTGCTTATTTGTGCTGCAGCAGAAACTGGCAATAGCTTTAGTAGTGAGGAGAGATCTGTATTTTTTGGTGTAATAATTTTTCTAAGAATAACCATTTTTGGAGTTTATGCCTTTTATATCCAACTGTCATTCTGCCATTTGTGTTTAGACTATAAAGTAATGAACAGCTGGATTAGAAGCAATTAGGTTTATGCAACCAAAAGAAGATTGTTTACATGATGTTATACTAGTGTCAGGATGTGTTGTTTGGTTTAGTGACTTGAGGCTGTGAGCAGCATGGGAAGCTGTTGCAGTGAGTGTTTCCTGACAGCCGCTTTCCTGGTTCATTTTCAGGCTGCAAAGAAGTTCGTCAGTGGGAAGAAATCAATGGCAGCTAGTGGGGACTTGGGAAATACTCCTTTCCTTGATGAGTTGTAAAAACAAAACTGAGATACAGATTCAAGATGGACCTGAGCTCTCAGTCACCCATGTTCTAAATAAATTACCACTAACTTGTTATTTATGAATTCAGTTCTTTCAGAAAATTAATCTGGAGTAATTGTGGGCTTGCACTCATCAAATAAAGTGCTGAGTTCATACATTTTGTGTTGAGTTTTTTTCACTGAAAATGGTATCTAAAAGGCTGGTAAATCTGGCTCTGTACACTGAAGGTGAAAACTACAGTGAAAAAACAACGTGAGTTTTAGTCAATGTAAAAAATAAATATATAAAAATTTATCACTGTGATGAAGACAAATACTGTAATTACCAGTAGTTGTCCATGTATTCTTGTATGTTCAGGAAAAATTCTTGAATTTTGACTGTCTCTGCCATCCTTAAATCCAGTAAATGAAGAAACTGGCCTTCAAATAAAGCTGACTATATTAGACTTTCTTAGAGCTTGCAACTGCTACTTGTCTGTTAGCTAATCAGGAAGTCTTCATTTATTTCAGATACTTGTTCTAAAGACAAGGTCATTAGTTCTGAAGCTCCTCTAATATCAAATTAATATTGTCTATAGTCATACTATTTTGTTTGGACTCTAATAGCTAAGTTGCAGTTCAGTCAACAAAAGCAAGCTATTCGTTTTCTGATTTTTCAGCATAGCAAATGATTTATTTAAACATAGGCTTAGAGGTTTAATCTCTTGGAAAGCCCCTTGCTGTGTGAGCTTCCTTTCTGCTGTTCTAGCCTAATTATCTCATTTTAATACTTCTGTTCCTTCCCCTGCCTCTGAGGTTTATTTCTATTAAAACTTTGTGCCTCGGGAAAACTTGTAACTGCCTTGTATCCCAACTAGATTAATTGTACTTACTACGTGGACCACCTTTAGCATTGGGAGCAATATATTTTGAAAAGCTGTGTGCCATGGCTCTCACAAGAAGTGCTTATTTTTTCCTGCTGTTTAATTTTAAAATCCTAATCTTTAAGTACTGTCAGTAGTTAAACTGATAAAGAAACAGATAAGCTTTTTACAGGATTAGAGCAAGACCTTCCTCTTGGTATAATCAGCTGCTGGCAGTCATCTTGATCTGTGGCTATGACAAATGGACATGGCCTCTGACTTCAGTGACTTTATTGCCAGCCAGACTTTATGCTCCCTGTGGAGGCAGCAGAGGGCACGTCAAAACAGCCCTCACATGGGCACGGTGCAAGACACTGTCAGGAGAGGCCAGGGAATGAGTAGGAGGTGCCTACAAGAGCCGAGGCATTCCAGCAGAAAGCATGGGGATGGGTTTGTCTGTGTTTGATTGTGTGTTTTCAGGGCTAAGGCTGCAAATGATGTTCTTTTTACCAGCTGCCAGTGGAAAGCACAGAGCTGCAGTTTGTACTGCAGCCAAGAACAGCAGACAGGAGGCCCAGCACGTCTGTATACCATGGGGTATAACAAGATGGGGTATGGAGGGATTTGCAATTATTGTGTTAACCTGTGACTTTTAGGGGACTGAAAAAAGGCAAGCAGGGTCAATGTGCAGCAAACTAAAGCTCTGTCTGCAGCCTGGCAGAACCAGTTGCCCAGAGGAGCAGTATCAGTAAACACTGTGTACTGAACTGCAGCACAGCAGCACGGGGCTTAAACAAGCACTACCTCTGTTTGCTGCAGAGCAAGGAGCCATAGAACACATCACATGCCATAAATAATTTGACTCCTTGTTCTTATAGCCTTTATTGAAAATGCTTTTGGGGCTTGCCTTCTTCAAATTGTTGCAAATAGAACTGCTTAGTTTCAGTGATGCATATTCTTAATATTCAATGATTAGTATTCTAATTATAGATTAAAAAAAAAAAAACAAACAATGAAACAAACCAACAATCAAATCAGTACCATACATATACTTTTGTATGCCGTAGGGGGTGTTTTAGGGAATAGATGAAAACTATCAACTCCTAAGAAAATAATAATTAGAAAGTACTTAGTTCAAATCCATTTCTATTTTATGCTCTGGATTTTTCCACTGATTTTTATACTTGGATCAAAAGGGCAAAGCCTTTCCTAAAAAGAGGTACTGTATTTCATCAAACAAGTAGATATCTCTTCCTAGTGCTTGGAATACTAACTCTCTCTGAAAGGTGCAAGAAGAAAGGACTGCCCAGACTATAAAGGCAATGCTGGGAAAATTGTTCTGATTTAAAGATATGCATTTTCACTGTACAGACAGTAAATTTCTAAATTACTTCATTACACTCAAGTCTTTGCTTCACAGATTCCAATGTTAGAGACAATTTAATGCCTGGAATTAATGTAGCACACTATCATCTCCAAACTCTATCCATGTGACTGATGTAATTGGTCTGGGGACCCATGTGAAGCAGTCACATTTACAGAGCTTTCAATTACAAGTTTAATACAGGTATCTGATGTTCCACAAGAAACCCTTAATAAGTGGTCTGCTAGCACTGATGTGGTTCATTTCAGGTTTAAAGCATTTAGCAAGTCAACACCTGCATGGATTGTTAAAGCACAGAGATTAGTCCATTGCCACTTTGTAACTACTCTGTGTAATAAAGAGAAATAAAAAAGCAAACAATAAGGCAAATTAATTTCAAGCCTTGGGAAGTTTTGTGTTACTTGTAGAGTGAAATTACTTGAACAATACTACAGTGAACAAAGAATGTTATTATTCAAGTTTAGTTGCTACATAAAGGTAATAGTCAAAATATTTTTGGACAAACCTGCTGATGAATAGGAAATCTGTTTTTGCTGGAGAAAAATGTATAAACTTAAATCTTGATCTGATTATGAAACAGTCACCATATGAGCTATTTTAAGATCACAGGTATTTTATCACAATGGAATGCTGGCACTGAGCTTTATACAGTTTGTGCTGGTTTCTTTTTTCTGTAATTTTAAATAGAGTTTCTTTTGATCTGCCTAAGTGTAAATAAATCAGAGAAAGGCTCAAAGCATAAATGCAGAACAAGAATATTTTCAATGCTATTACATTTGAATATCACAGTTGGTTCTTTTTATCTGGTTTTAGCAGAGCTTTTCCTAACAAGGTTTGTTATCTGGAGATACTGCCCATCCAGTAACACTGTGAGAGCTAATCCTTGTTCACCCATCCTGATATTTGCCATCAGTGCTGCAATCAGTGTGTGCTGAGAGGTTTTCCAGTGCTGATGATGGCCCTTTGAAAAGTGAGAGGAAAACTTTATTAGTTGAAAGTGTGATATCATTCTTCAATAAAGAGTTTAAAGAGACATTTGATCAGGTGCTGTCCCCACTCTTAATTGTCCAAGCAGTTAAGCCTCTCATCCTTAGTTGCTTCTGTAGATAGGCATTGCCTGCTGAGTTGCTGCCAAAAAGCCATAATAGCAATACTTATAAAAAGTTAGTGTACTCTAGAAACCGGCTTTCTGCAAATAAATATACTGGAATTCGTTTTTACTTTACTTAGAAACTTATTTCTTAAAAAGTGACACATTTTGCCGAGTGAAAAAGCAATAGTGCTGTTACTTAAGTATTCATTACAAATGGCAATACATTCAGGGAAGGTAGGGAACAGGGCACAAAATAATAGAACAGAGGAGTTTCCAGCTATTAAAGTCTTCAAGAAAATATTGCATGCCTATAACAAATGGATTTTTCAAATCCATATTTCTTCCATGCACCAATTTTTCCTGGTTTAAAGGGAATAATTTCAGCCGTTTTTCATCAAAAGCCTTATTATTTCCTTCGCCCTTAAGAAAATCTGTCAAGTAAAGGCAATTTCAATTGAATGTAAGTACAGGGTTTGTCTTCCAAATAATAAATCCTACTGATTGCTGTTGAACACTTTAAGATTACTTTACTAACATCTGCATTTTGTTTGTATAGTCTCCTGTCTACACAAAAGATTTACATAAAAATAAACAGCACAGACAATCACCCACTTGGCTTCCCGGTATGTTCCATATAGATCAGTCGTGCTGCTCTGGAAAAAACAAGTGAGTGTTTGCTGTCGAAAGGGAAAAAATATGTAAGCAATTAGGTATTTTCCAAGTACCTGTAGATGTGGGGGCTGTTAGGTTCGTTTGCTGCAGCATTCCCATAGCAGGATGGCAATATCGAAGGCACAGATTTACTGTGGCCAGAACTGGGCTGGTTTCCCACAACTGGTGCATTGTTCATTTATTGGCTACGGATTCCCCACGGTTCTGAATCCATGGAAAAGCGTGCCATCAAAACCGGCTCTGTTTGGGTGAGATTTCCAGCCAGGATTAATTAGGTTTTGTTGCAGAGGCACGGCACAGACACAACGCCGTGTGTCCGTGTGTGGGGCTCCACAGCCGCGCAACCCCGAGGGACCTCAGTCCTTCCCCTTACCCTGTCCTCATCACTGCGACAGAAGCAGCTCCGAAATTTAGGCTCATGCCCAACAGATAGAGAGCAGTGAGCTGAAAAACAGGAGGCAATTTCTGTGGTGGAGACAGATCTGCGACAGCTCCGCAGCCCTTGGCGCTGACCAAGCGGCTCATTTCTTGGTTCAAAAACACCTCTGGGGACTGGGATGCGACAGGGCATGAGGGCAGGGGATTGATTACTCAGCAGCGGGGAAAGTGTTCGGACCCCCTCGGGGCAGAGCCGGGCTGGGACGAGGCGGACCGGGGGCTCCCGGCACCGCCCGCCCCTCACGACAGACCCGCGCTGAGGCACCGCCCCCTCCACTAGGCCACACCCACCTACGGACTCGGCCCCGCCCCTCGCCCCTCAACAGCCCGCCCCTTCGTGCCGGCCCCGCCCCCTTCCCCGCCCACTAACAAGCAGCCCTCGCCCATCATCGACAAGCCCCGCCCACCTGCTGTAAGCCCTGCCCACTCGCTGCGCGCTCCCCGGAGATCCCCACCCACTTCGGCATTGGCCACGCCCCTCTAAAGGAAGCCCCGCCCCATCCGTGCTGCCCTGGTCCCGCCCCCTCGAGAAGCCCCGCCCCGCCCGGGACGCGCGCGGGGAGCGCGGGTTCCCCTTCCGGAGCGGCCGCCGCCCCCCCGCCCGCCGGGTTCGCTTCCGGCGCCGAGCGGGTCCGATGGAGCCGCGGCCGTGAGGCGCCCCCGGCCCGGGCCCGCTGCGGCAGCCGGGCGGAGGCCGGAGCCGGGAGCCGCCGGAGCGCCGGAGGACATGGACAAACTGACCATCATCTCAGGATGCCTCTTCCTGGCCGCCGACATCTTCGCCATCGCCAGCCTGGCGAACCCGGACTGGATCAACACCGGCGAGTCCGCAGGTGAGGGCGGCCGGCGGCGGGACCCGGCAGGTGGCCGGGGAGGGTCTCCGGGGGTGCCGGGGCCGAGCAGAGCGCGGGGAGGGCCGGGGGCTCCCCCGAGGAGCCGCTACCCGGGCGGGAGGTGCCGAGGGTCCGCTGGGCACGGGGCGGGCGGGCGGCCGGGCCGGGTCCCGGGGGCTCCCGGGGCCCCCCCCGTGCGGGTGCGGGCGGAGCGGCTGGAGGGGGCTGGCGGGACCCCTCGGCCCGGGCAGAGCCCCCGGCGGTGCCTCCCAGTCCCCCGAGGGGTCCCGCAAAGCCGTGGAGCCCCCTTGGACTCTGCATCCCCGCCTGTGCCTCCCGGGTGCCGTCACCTTGGACAGGGAATCAGATCAGGCTTCGCTTAGTTCGTGGCAGGTTTTGAGTGTCTCGTACTACACTGACGTTTCCTTTGTTGCAGGGAAGTTCTTGCCTTCCTTCATCTCTTTTTTTCCTTTTGCTCCTGCATGCTGATTTTTATCAGCTTTTAAGCCTAGATCCCATGTGGTTTTTATTTTAGAATGTGACACTGTTTTCTTTAAAAGAACAAGGATTTGTGCGTCTCTCTTCTTGCTAAGGGTGTAATTGTTTGTATGAACAATTTAGTTTAGCCTGTTGATAAGGACCTGGATAGTCTGATCAGTGGAGCAGGGAGAGATAACAGGAGAAGGGCCGCTCTTTGATGTCATGTCCCCAGGGAACACAAAGCTCCGTGTCAAGAAACGAAGTCATCCTTACTGTAAACAGATGAAATTAAATTAACCACCTTGACCAGCATTAGGACCCGAGGGAATGGCCTGAAGCTGTGTCAGGGGAGATTTAGATTGGATCTCAGGAAAACGTTCTTCCTCCAGAGGGTGGTTGGGCTCTGAACAGGCTCCCCAGGGCAGTGGTCACAGCACCAAGCCTGACAGAGCTCAAGGAGTGTTTGGACAGTGCTCTCAGGCACATGATGAGATTTTTGGGGTTGTCCTGTGCCAAGCCAGGAGCTGGACTTGATGATTCCTGTGGGTCACTTCCAACTCAGGAGATTCTATGACTTTTCCTAAATGTATAACTTTGAAGCAAACCACAAGTTAGTATAAAGAAAAACGGTCTTGGTGCAAAGAGTTCTGTCATAAATTCTTGCTGAGGGTTTAAAAAATTTTCTTTGTCTGGCTTGCATCTTTCATGGCTAATATTCAGTGTGATGTAAAAGGATTGTGCTTCAGATTATGTCATATTTCATTTATTCTAATGAATTAGAGTATTGAAAATGTTGGCTGTTAGGGATTGATGAGTGGGCATTCCCTCTGACCAGACTGTCCTAATGGCTTGTTTGAATTGCTTCTAGTCTAGAACCTGGCCTTTCCTACGTGCTCCAGACCAGAGGAACAAGTCCCTTTCCTTCCCAAAGTGCAGCATTCAGTAACTCCCCAGATGACTTCCCCATTCCTCCTGTAGCTAATTGTGATGATCTTCCTGCCTGTGGCTATATAAAATAGTTGGTTCTTTCCGCTTAGAATTCCACCTAGCAGTAGTGCTGCAGTAATGAGCTTCAGGGGCTTAAATAAAATAATCTTAATTTTAAATATTTAAGTATGTCTTTCTGAAGTCCTGCCTCACATTAGCAGATCCTGTGCAATGTGTGAGATGTTGGTTTCTCTCTGCCCATGTAGAAGTGAGATAACAAAAACTATTCTGAAAAAAGCACTGAAGGAAAAAGAAGGTCCTTTGGGAATTAAGCACAGTCCTTTACATTCTTTCTTAGACAAAAATGTTCGATATCCCTTTATAATACAAAAATTATCTCCTAAAATATTATAAGTAGCAATCATTATTTCTTGGTTACTCGGTGGATGATTACTTAAGAATCATCTGCCATTTCTGAGGTGCAACTAACAATATTACTTTTAATTAGGCTGGCAAACATGAAACCTGTGTGGATTTTTCTGAAGGACTTCACTAGTCAAATAGTGTTTTGACAGACCTAAGTCTTTTTTCTACTCTTTGCTATGTTTTGAAGCCAAACAAATTGCTGTCTTGATAAAACCATAAAGGAGAGCTAGCTGTCATCCTTCCTTAGTGACTCTTTTGTAGATTTTTGTTGATAGGGGATTCAATGCATTATTATAAGAATTGTGGTTAAAAGCAACATAAATGTATATTTCTAGTGCTTCTAAAGTGAGCCTTTTGCCCAAACTGCAAAGAAAGGAAGTGTGAGGATGCCCATTGAACCGAGGACTTCCTGTAGCAAACACGGTGGTATTGAATTATGAGGTGAATGCTTTTATGAGTGCCATTCATTACCCAGAGCCTGCTGGGGAGAGATTTGGCAAAGGAGGGCACAGCTCTGATGGTAAAACCTGTCCCAGCTGCTGGTGACATTCAGGCACTCTCAGCAGACTTACCGTGCTTGGAGCACATCCAAGGCCTCCAGCTTCCATATGTGCCACTCAGAACAAGGGTTTTTTTAAGCATCCTGCACTCTGCTGGTGAAAGGAACTGTTTTGTAAAAGAAAATATTTCTTTGCTTTATCTCTGTGTTCTTAGGTCCATCTCCTGTGGGAATTATTCTAGATTTCTGCTTCTACAAGTCAGCCTAGTCCCGAGGAGGAAGGGGGGTAACAGTGTCTCTCTGCTTGGCTGCTGAAAGGCAGCGTGGAACAGCCTGGTCTCCTCAACACTGCAGCTGTTTGAGGATGGCACAGAGCAGAGGTCTTGCCAATCCTGGGAAGGCAGCACTGCATTGGCTCATTCAGAGCTGTTTACAGCCATTCATTTTGGGAACCTGGGCTTATGTTTCAGGGAAAAAAAAAAAAAAGAATCTGTTCTGATTTGAATGCTAAACAATACGTACCTCTTACTCCAGAGATAATGATGATTTTCTGCTAAATTGGATAGCAAAATAAATCAGTGGCTTTAAAGCTTTTCTGAAAAACCTAGGTGGTTGTCAATATTTTTTTTAAAGGAGCTTATGTTCTGTAGAATCAATATAGAAGAAGGGCTGATTAGTCTACTAAATCTTACTCGTAAAGATAAGTTTTACAGTCATTTGAAAAGTGTTGGCTATAAAAATTTCTCTCCAGCATTGCAATTAAGAGCAAAGGAGTGCAACCAAGATCATTGAAGGTTTCAGATGCTTATCTGAACCACACCTTTGTGAACATGGGTCCAAGTCTCCAATTGGCTCTTTGTGTAGTTTTGTAAGAATTGTTCATTAGCTGAGTTTTGGGTATTTCATACATCTTTAAGATTATAAAGGAAAGATGAAAATAAAATGGATTTTTCTTTCAGAGAGTTCTCAGTGAGGTTTTGTTATTCGTGCTGTGCAAGTGCTGATAACCAATCTGGAAACCAGTGGCTGCTCAGTATTCTTGCACTGACAGCCTTTTCTTATCAAACTGACACTGTGTGAGAAATAAGGACAGAGTTGGCTTTAATTTAAACCAATGCCTAAAGTGCCATTGATTTCAGTAGGAAGGAATTCTGCTCCTGTATCTCTACACTTCTTTTGAGAAGAACTTTATAAGCTGATAGTTTTGTCTCCATATGTTCCTTTTTTGTGTGGGAGGGTCTTTAATGATTTTGATATTTTGCCTTCAGTAGGGGAGGAAGGGGGATAGAAGCTGCTCTAAGCTTCAGCTCTCAACCCTTTTGTAGGGAAGAGGGTATGAATAGTGTGCACAGTTGAAATTAGAGTTGTTAAAAGCTGTACATGTGTGGGGTTTGACAATTTGAAGTGCTTTTAGGATAGGTCAAATAATTCAAGAAGATAATTTAATCAAATAAAATCTCCCTTCAGAAAGCTAAGCTATCAGTTTGTTTATGTGATTTAGTCATCCCTTCCTATGTAGCATGATTGTTCACTTGATTCCAATTTACAGAACAACGTGTACCTTTTTTATAGCACTCATTAAATTCATATGGATGTCAGAATTTAAGGATGCTTAACTCTGATGGGTAACTCCTAAAGCAAGTATATATCACATCCTCTTATGCTGATCCATAGATCACCAGGGAACATTGAGTATAATGTTATGGCCAGGCCACTCAGCATATGCACAGCAGTGCTGACCCGGGTGATATTGGTGTTCAGCAGAGCTTCCAATTTCATCTCACATCTGTGACATAAGCACAAGGTCCTTGTGTTAGGAATTCTACTTTTCATGTGAACTTCTGTATCAAACATTCTGTATCTTGCTGTGCAGTAACAGTATGAGAGTGAATTGTGAATCTATGAGATGCCACTTATTTTAAATTGCCTGTTTACAAATGCTGCCTTTCTGTGTATCTTCCCAAGTGTTATGTGTAGTTCTTGGGTTTGCATTCTGAGTTGTAGTTTTATTTGTGAAG